TTGTTAAGATAATCGATGAAGCTTGATCAAACAACCGAATAGTAGCCAAGAGGTGTTAAATTGGTTTTTGAGAGTTTAGGGAGTAAGGAATATAAAAAGATAGACAATTGGCACAATGATTTATAGTGGTTCGACTTCTCAACCAAGTCTACATTCACTACCTTAACACTCCTCACTAAGGATTTTCTAACAAATTTACTAATGTGTTCTTTTTTTTTACAAGATAAAGAGATAACATTTATAAACTCCCCAGCCTTTAAAAAAATTAGATAGAACCACTCCCCTTTTCACAAATGATAAGAAATATAAACAAAAAACCCTTACAAGGTAGGTGTTTACAAAATTAAGCTCACAAGATCAAAAATATTTACAAGAGAAAGGAAAATAAGAATGAAAAACTCTTCTCTTGTATTTGATTTCCTGGATAGGTGTTCTAACCATTCTTCAAGTGTCATCAACTTGTTTTTAAATGTTGGAATGTATTTTTTACCGTTTCTAGTCATTGGGAATGATTTGGAGCCGTTAGGGATAATTTTTCTGCAAAATAAAAGTGCCCAAGACATGGAGTATCAATACTTTTTTAATGAGTATTTGTACTACCTTTATAATTTTTAAATCAACTAGTCGTTACTAGCTGTTGGGCTTGACCATTATCGATATTATGCTCATGGTATCGATACTACAGTGTAAAGTAGTATCAGTACCCCTTGGAGTATCAGTAGCTATTTTGCATTCTGTAATTTGAGTTGTTTGGAAAACACTTGGTAGTATCGATACTACCTAGAGAGTATCGATACTTCTCTTACCTTTGGTATCGGTACCACGTGAATAGTATCAGTATTGTTCTTGCAGTATCGATAATATAAAAACAATATCGATACTATGTACCCAGAAAATCAATTTTGTGTTCAAATTCTATTTTAATGGACTTTGAATTATTTTTGAAAACTTTGAACAAATTCAATTCAAGTCCAAAAACATTTTGTCTTAATTTGTTATATCAAAACATTATAAAACATGGTTCAACAATTATTCAATTCAAGTCCAAAAACATTTTACCTTAATTTGTTATATCAAAATATTATAAAACATGGTTCAACATATTATTCTAACTTTGGATTTGAACTGCAACAATATGTATCTTCTAATTTAACATATTCAACAAACAATTCAACTCAGCTTACCAAATTCCCCGTGTATGTGTCAATCATTTTACGAATTGATGCTTTTGTTATTCAGATAGCCCATTACTGAATCTTGTTTAAATGAACCTATATGGAACCTATAGCTTAGTGACTAAAAATTTGTATTCCCTCTGCACCCACCTTATTTGACACTTGATTTATCAAATTGAACAATTTAATGTCTTCTTCAAACGAAATCTTGAATGATTTCACCTCACAATATACAATCGCTGAAATCCTTGCCAGTGAAAACAATCAGATTTTCACTCTCACACACAATGAAATTTATTGAAATATATGTCCATAAAATCAATTCTGTTCAGCTTTCCTGTGAACTCGTATTTCATTTCTAATTGCATTTCTCTGCACAATACATGTGTCTCAATAGTAAATATTTCATTTCCTTAACAGTTTTCTTCTGATGAACACAATAAAGATTCCATGAATTGACCTTTCTTTCTCACTTACTTTTCCGTGAACTATGTTCATCTTTCTCAGCTTCACTGAGTAATGCAAGTGACCAAAAGTCTGTCAAGATTCTTCAATTGCATTACATAGAAACTCAATTTTTCTAAAATTTTCAAACGAAAATATCAAAACTCATACCATATGTATCTATTTTAAAAATTCTGAACTCATGCCAAAAATATTTTTAACCAAAAGTATAGACTCTTATGATGAAATGTTTCGATACTATATATATATCGAAAATATTCTCAAATACATAATACCGAACTTCGCATATAAGTATCGATATTTTAAACTTCAAAGATATTTTAAACTCTACATTATCTAAAAGTAACGATCATCGTACATTAAGTATCGATATTTAAAAGATTAAACTATTTTCTTGTATTATTATAAACTATTCAACAATTCAATTGTATTGGTGACGTTACCAGTTGCACCTTGGTGTTATATTAACTAGTTAAGTTATAGGAAGAAACTGTTTATATTATGAAAAAGTAATACATACCTAGTTTCCTAGATAACATTATAGGTTGCGCCTTAGTGTTATTTTAATTGGTTACGTTATAGGCTAAAACCTTGTATATTATGAAAAAAATAAAACAAACATATTTTCCTGGATAACATTATCAGTTGCGCCTTGTTCTTATGTTAACTGATTAAGTTATAGTATGGAACCGTCTATATTATGAAATAATACACTAAACTTTGTTTTCTGGAAAATATTATAGGTTACGCCTTGTTGTTATGTCAACTGGATAAGTTATAGGCTAAAACCTTATACATTATGATTGAAATTAATACAAACCGGTTAAATTTAAGGCTAGGGTTTCTTGGGTAACCTAAACAGGATCTTCCTCCCACTCATTCCTCACAACAAACATAATTAAAAGATATTGAATTAGACATCACATGTATAAGAATTTTCGATAACAATTTCATTGAGATTGATTCAATAATATTACAACATATTTTTTGTATTTATTTTGAGAGAGATTACTACAAACCTCAAACCTAAACTCAAATTTATAATAGTCCTCGTATCATTTTGGAAGCAACATTTCATCGGGACCTCACATTTTTTAATTGAGGCTTCTGAAACGATTTAAACGTTTGGTAATAATTGTATCCATTCACACCGCCTGGTATCCCAGGTGACGATTCACCCACGTCGAACTTTTCCACAAATACCATAGCATAGCATAAGTATCGATATTAATAAAACAATATCAATTCTAATAACATATGTATCGATATTTTAACTATCGATCATATTCATCAACTTGTTCAATGTCTAGAATATCGATAATCATAAAAAAAAAAGTATTGATATTTTACATTTCGATCTTTTTATCAACGTTTTCAATTTTTAGAAATATCAATCATTACAGAATAAGTATCAATATTTTAACTTTCGATCTCATTTTCATTTTTTCAATATTTCAAAGTATCAGTACTATTATATTAAGTATCAATATTTAAATTTTTGATCTTTTATACTTTTTCCGTGCAACCTTATTTTTTATATATATTCATAATATTTTAAGCTTTAACTTATTTTATTTCAATTTTTAAAAGTATCGATCATTACTACGCGCATATTTATCTATATTTTTACTTTTCATATTATCTTCAACTTCTTCAATATTTAAAAGTATCAATATTAAAAATTTTGATTTTTTTATTTTTTTTGTGCAACCTATTTTATTAATAAAAATATTAACATAACATATCGCAACCGAAATTTCTATTCAAAATCTTTACATTATTGGACGCAACTTATTCTATATAAAAAATATTAACATTACTTTACAGATCACAACGTACCTTTTTAGTGAACAAACCATATTTCTTGTATATATTCATAAAGTTTTAAGCTTGTAACTTATTTTCTTATCGTTTGAAATTTCAAGGTTCCATCATATTAAACCCTTTATTATTAAAAATAGTAAGATTCCATATTGCAACTTGCTTTCTTAGTGAACCATAATATTCTTGGACGCAACCAATTTTATTAAAAAATATTAACATAAAAAATCGCAACCTATTTTTATTAGGCACAACCGTATTTATTATACATATTCATAACATTTTCAACTTTTAACTTATTTTCTTATAGTAGGAAAATTCAAGGCTCCATCAGCTTAATCTCTTATAACATTTTAGGTGCAACCCATATATTCATAACATTTTCCATTTTTAACTTATTTTCTTATCGTGAGTAAATTCAAGGCTCCATCATCTTAAACTCCAATAATATTTTAGTCGAAACTCATTTTATTATTAAAAATATTAAGATTCCAGATTACAACCTCCTTGCTTACTGAAACATGACATTGTTGGCCGCAACCGTATTTATTATATATGTTCATAACATTTTCAATTTTTAACTATTTTCTTATTGTACGAAATTAAAAAGCACAATCAGCTTAAACTATAATAACATTTTTAGACGGAACCTATTATGTTAATAGTAATCATACCGTTGTAACTTAATTTCTTACCTTGTGTAAACATGTTACGTTACTACGACAATAAGTATTTCAGTTCCAAATTATAACATTGTCGATCGTACTTTTAACCTGCAATATTTTATACCGATCAGACTGTTTATTAGTCTTGTTTTAGGCGTCTCACAACCCAGCACAAAGTGATGTGTAAAATTTCAGATCACCAGACAAATCTAGTGTCAACTTTTATTTAGAATCCCGACACTGTCGACGGACAGCTTTACGGTACACCTTAAAATTATGATGTTATAAACCGACAATAAAAGACAAGATTAAAAATTATAAAAAATTTAACATTATTTTTGTCACATTTGTGATTATATAAAATATTATCTAAGTTTAATTTAATTGTCTGTCTAGTTCAGTTGGTAGAGCACAAGACTCTTAATATATGGAAATAGGATCAACTCTAAAGTCTAATTTAAGATATCAACATTTTATCATATTTACTATTAACAATCAAAAATATATTTTTAAATATTTTAGATTATAATTGAAAATGCTAGAAATAATAACATTCTAAATTACATTTAACCTAAAATGTTAAATTTTTTTAATTACATAAATATAAAACTTTTGAACATTTTAGATTGTGCTCGTTACTACCATTTTTTAACAGCATCCTAACCTATCTTTCTTCAGACATTCGCTTATCATTTAGGGTTCCCCTCCACGCCAATGACAAGCATCATTGTTTTTAAGCTAAAACAAGTTTTAATTAAATTAATAAAATGCAAAGCTGAAGACTTCAATATTACAAACGTTTCTTCCGTTGTCCATTTCATTTTACATTCCCCTTTCCTCGTTTGATTAGAACAAATAAATTATACTGAAATGGTTTTCACACAAAGGACCAGTTTACAAAACAGAAGGCCAAGCAATGGAATGAGCTCTCATCAGCTTCAAGTACTTTCCAAGCAACAGCTTGTTCATACGATATATGGCGTCCCATTATCGACATGCAGATTCCCCCCGGGAAATAGGCAAATCCCTGTTTGTAAAGTCAATTACGCATTAAAAGACTAACCACACCATCCCCTTCATTGTTCGAAACAAAAGATTTTCTTTAGAAGCCTTACCTGCTGCATCACCTTGGCGAAATCGGAGTACAATGCCTTGCGTCCAGACTCATCGAATATTTTATCCAGTGTTATGTCTTGTAGGGACACTAGAGATGTCTCAAGCATGTCAAGACCCGCTTGATTTGCGAAAATGAAAACCGGTAGCGACTGCAAATCAAAACAGGAGCATTACTTCAGAAATAACTATGTTCATGTTTCAACGAAGTGTTCTTGATGAATTTACAGCATTCAAGATTTTTTCGATGGAATTGCCAGCATACCTTCATCGAACAACACAATATTGCATCCTGATGTTCCCAGAGATTCTTCAAAATTGAGTCACCGCCGAGTGATTCAGATCTCAACAATTCCGTCCCTATATGATAACTGAGGGAAACGAAATGAAAAATGGGATGAATGAGCTTGTTCGGCAAAACCTTCATCCAAAAGCAAATAAAAGGTCTAGTGCAACTTGCCTGTAGCTCTGGCAGATCCAATGAGCTAGTCTAAGTGCTTCGGGAGAGCCCGGAGTTAACTTTGGTCCTACAGCTGGGCTCAATCCAGAAGGAGATACGGCCATGGCAAGCCTCTGGACAGAAGAAATGACACTACGGACATACTGTCGTGCCATGGTCGCAACATTATCCTGAAGACTGTCATCAAACGGAAACTGGAAGGCAATCGTCAACACCGATCGTGTATTCTGACATGTAGGAACATCTCCCGAAGCCTGGTTGGTAGCAGGCCCCACTTCAAGACTTGAAGTCAGATCCAAAGTCCGATTTGTTGTTAATGAATCCTGCGTATCACACTGTATAAAATACACCATTACTATTCATTTCCTACAAATTACAATGCACTCATTATATCATAATTTTATGGCAACAGCATTTCTTTTATCAGGCTTTCACTAAACGGGCTCAAACATACTATCACTTGTTTCGTATCCCTTATTCCACTCTACGGTCAAGTTTGGTGAAGCCTTACCGGCTTTGACTCCAACGGGATAATGCGGAATCCAGATGGTACTAAGGGAGCATCATCAGGAAACATATCATCAATGGTAGCAAAGACAAGCTCCGAACAGGACCCCACAGCATTCTCATCAATTCCACTGCATATCTGTAAAGATGATAATATACATAAAAGTAAAGGTTTCCATAGATATGGCAACAACCATTAATTAATGGAATTACAGAGGATATAAATGTGTTGGGTTTTCCATTCCAATTATAGATACAAATAACAATCAAAATTCAACTTGGAATCGTTGGTTGAGTCTTAGCTCGACTGCCATGTTTATTATTGCAAAAATTCAGGATGATGTAGGTTCGAGCGAGCTTAAGTGCGCAATATCCTCCGATTTAGGTGTTATGAGGGGAACTGGGTAGTTTATAGGCAATGTATTAAAAAAATCAACTTGGAACTGCGAGAAAATCACCTGCAATAAGTGAATATCCCTTGACACAAAGGCATCCTCTTGCACAAAAGATTGGCCTTCAAGTCTTACAACTTCAAGTATCTGATACATGATAAATAAATAGAGGCATTAGAATAGTCTATTGGGGCCAATGAAAAAAAAGGCTATGCTTTCAATGGAAAATACAAGTGAGTCCATTTTACGAAAATTCTTAAAGAGGAAAAACAAGAAAGCAATAATAATCTTATTAGGACATATCTTAAATTTGTAGAACATATACCTCTTCATGTTCAATCGTGTGGCCAAGTGGCATGATAACCTGACTACCAGTAAACCTCGTGGGTCTCATTCCCGGATAAGCAAATGTTCCAGCCTTAAATGACGCAGCAGTATAAGCATCAACATTGAAATCAGCCCACTCCGAGCGGTGCTCTCTCAGGAAACGCACTAGTACAGCAGGCAAAACATCCTGAAAAAAGACAAGGTATAAAGATACAGTACTTCCCGCAGACATGATGCAGAAAAGGCCTAAAACTTTGGCGTACAGAAGAAACTTTTTCCCATTTTTGAACAAAAAATTTTCTGTGTCGCTAACTTAACGCAGCTAATGTCAAATCAGAACTTTCTTACTAAATGAGGGGCATACAAGAACTTACTTGAAGCAGCATAGATGCCTTCGCACACAGAATGCCACCAACGAACGAAAGAGCATTTGTTGGATTTGAACTGCTGCTCAAGCTCTTGCTTGAATTAATTGCAGTTACCACATCTTCAGTACCATCGCAATTCATTATTGACCAGCCATCATCGTTGAATCCGTTTATTGCTTCATTAAAGCCTCTACAAGTGAATTATAGACACATTTCTTCAATGAAACAATGGAGTATAACAGATTTCTAAATGCACAAGTAAAATAGATTTCTAAAGCCTCTACATGCATGCTTTTCAGCACAAACTCAATTTGAATAAATAAGAGGATTCAATATAATCTCGCAGCTACCTGCTTAATCTTTGGCTAAAAGTTCGTAGGACAGCAGGCTGCCTGCCCATACTGTAAACCACCTCGCCACTTTTCTCCATAGCAATTTGCTTGACATAGCGCATTGCCTTCACAGAGAACAACTAATCAGTACCTTTAGAAATTTTCTTTTAAGGAAATAAAAAAAATCCCTTTTTAACATAGTTAATCAGTCGATTTAAGTGACTCTTGCCTTATGAGTTGAACTAATATATGATCACTTTGCACTAATGAATTTACTTACCAGAATTGTCATTTTCTGAGCAATTACTTTTGATGATTCATAAAGCGGGCGCAGCACCTCCGGCGCGCTCCAAGCCTGCAATGGGATTTTTGAGTTTTAGTCTTGCGACGTGAATTGAAGACTTCTATAAAGTACCTACTAACCAGAAGTCCTACCTCAAGATTCAGGTGGTCAACAATATGGATGATTGACCCTCCACCTTCACAAGGCCTAATCAAATAGCCACTAGGAAGCATTTCGGCTCTCACAAATTGAGCTACAGCAACTGCACTAGGACCAGCACCAGAACCAGAAAGGGACCTCTCACATACCTTGGAAAACAGAGTGAAAGAGGAGAAGCTTATCAGCATCTATAATCATGCTACTCTCAAGAAAGGAAAGTCACATAAGCAACTGAAATGGTCCTTCAACCTTGACTTTCTTAAAAGATCGTACATAGCAATTATTTACACTGTAATAAATAATAAGTGCAAGACATGCGTACCACGAGACTTCCATTCTCTAATGTTGTAGTGTATCTTAGTGTCCAAAAGTCCCTCGCAGGAGCCAGAGTAGTTGGAGCAAACATCTAAAATAGTTCTCGTTTTAGTCATTATTCGTGACAATTGAGTAAACATTCATTCATAAATAACGATCATTCTTCACCTGTGTGTGTATACAAGCTCAATTGTTCCACCATTGCCAGCTGGAAACATAGTAAAAATTTCAAGGTTCCGACACTCACGGAACCAAGATGGACGATCCTTAAGGATCTCCGCAATCTATTAAACAATAATTTAAATTTTCCGTTTAGATAAGGTCACCCACAATGATAAATGTCTCAATATTTTTTGCAATGAAATTATAATTCATACCTTTGTAGGTTCTAAACTTACAAGACCACAGGCTCGAGCTGCCACTCCACTACAACTTTGGGAAATGGCAAAAATCCCACCCGAATCCGGACCAGGCTTACAACAGATTAAAATAAATACGCTCAGAGACAAGTCTGATTTGCGACAAAAAGGATAATACAACAACATTCACATGCTATATCAATGAACGGGAAACAACGGACAATAAAAGCAGTATAAGACAAACCTTCATCCCAGGCATCTGGACCCAATCGACAGCAGTTCCCGTAGCCTTGGAAAGGAACTCTGCCAAGGTCTCCTCGGCAATGGAGAGGAGTCTGCCAAGAACATAACAAAATTCAAAGCTTTTATTAGGAAATAAAACGATAAATACACACGGATTCGTACGAATATGTAGAGAGCTGATCCGCTGTAGTTAAAAATTGAACTTACCCAGCAGGGTTATTGGCATCTCTGAGTGAATGCTTAGGAGTGGTAATCACAGAGTCACAGCTTGCATCAGTTGCTGATGCCTAAATATCAAATCCAAAAACAAACAGCACCGATGTCAAAACGGCAACAAGTGAAACACACAGTAAATGCATATCCTTTGCTTAAAGCAATTACCCAAAATGAATCCTACAACACAAAATAGCAAGTGGCATATTTGCGAAAGAAACATTAACAATTTGAGACAAATTAAGATAATCAAATTCTATGAAATTAAGCATACCACAAAGATCCATCTAATGCCTAAAGTTCAACTTAAAATGCAAATAAAGAGCATAAATTTCCACATTAAACGTTTCGGTAAAGTTCCATACTAGGAATTAGAGAAGATCAAAGAGTGAGAGACTAAAAGAAGATACATTTACAGTATGCAGTTGCTGCTTCATATAACCATTCTCGCAAACCAGCTGAGAAACCTGCTTTTGCAACCGATCATTCTCCTCCATCAACAGCTTGTTCATTGCTGATAATTTTTTATTTACACTTTGAAGCCTTGAAGACTCTTTCCTTTGCTTCTCTCTACACCTATAAACTCCAATGGCAAACCCCATAATAAAAAAAACACAGAAGAAATTACTCATCTAAAAAAGACAATTTTTCTTCAAAACAACTATAATCAAAGATGAAAAAACAAAAAACAAGACCAAATTTTCCAGACCTGCGATTTTGAAACCAAACTTTGATCTGTTTAGGTTCAATGTTGGAAAGAATGGGACATTCCCTTATCAACTGTTGCCTATGCAAGGAACTTGGTTTGGGGCACTCAGCATAGACTCGTTCCAAGGCTTCAACCTGCTCAGCTGTGTATCTAACGTACTTGCCTGCAGCATCCAGGTGTTTGTTGATGCTGCTACCGCTGCAGCTCACCCTGTGTTGGGCCACCGCCATAGCCATTTCTCGTTATAAAAAAAATCAATCTTTCTTTATGTAAGAAAAAAGTGAGACAGATAAAGATGGTGCGAGCTGAGTGATAAAAGAGCTGCTTGTTTTGGAAGATAAGTTTCAGAAACTAAGATTACTGTTTCTTCAGCTAAAATGAGGGATTTTGATTAGAAACAGCCTCAAGTGAAGGCCAAATGGTTGGTCTTATAGTGGGTTTCTTCAGCTGATGATGATCAGGCCGGTGAAGTTAAAAAAACAATAATGGCTTACAAAATCTGCACCCAAATATCCAACTTTCAAACAGCCAAATAAAGAAAATAACTTTGAAAGGCTCTCTCTCTCAAAAAAGAGAGCCCAAAAGGAGAAGCATTACAAGGAAGCTGGTTTATCTACAATAACCCACCACAGAAATGTAAAGAGAAATTGAAATCTTAACCATGTTGAAGAAGACGAAGAAATACTCAACTAAAGTAGAGATTTTGAATGTTCGAAGGGGTTTTAAAGAAGAAAAACCCAACAAATTTTAAAATTTTAAAAAATTTGTCAAAAGAGAAGTGAGGAGAGAGAAAGGGAAAGAAAAAAGTTGTGACAGTGGGTGATCTAAAGTCTGAGCATGAAATTGTAGGGGCACAAAAGAGAGAGAAAGAGAGCTCATTGCACGCAAGCCGACAAACTTACCAGAGATGTTTTTTTTTTCTTTTTTATTTGACATTAGCTGAAATCCTAGAAATACCATGTAAATATTACATAAGCCTACCACGTAAATAAGTCCCTAGTTTTTATTTTATATCTTAATGCACACAAAGAATAAATCGGCATTTTTACCGAAATATCACCTTTTATAATTAATTTTTCATGTCATGTATTATTCAGATTATTTTTTTTATCTAACCCCCTTTGTAGTAAGATATGTCCCTGCAGTAAATTTTACGTTAATTTGGCGCCACCTGTGATAAGACGTGCCCCCTAAAACGCACCTTATGCTGACATGGACACACGTATCTAAAGTGTGGCCTCTGGGGCACACCTTACGCAGTGTGAGGCAGAGGCCACGCTTTTCAATTATCACATGCTCAATTATTAGACATGCATAATGCAAGGCGCGGTGAAGGGACTGTGCCTTGCATAATTAACCCGGATCTCTTGGCTTTAAAGCATCATCTCTCGGCTATAAATAGTTATTTCCCCGTAAACTCTCTCACAATTCCCTCTCAACCGAGAAATTAATACAACAATCCTTTCAACCAGTAAATAACACCCGGCAATCATCTTATATTTGATTCAGAAGTTCGTTCAATCTTTTGTTATAAGATAATTTTGTTATAATATTTTTTTATTATACTTATTGTTTATTATGATTATTTGAAAAAAATATTATAGTAATTGTTTTCAATTAATTTCTGTGCCAGTTCAAGGGGAAAGCGGGAGCATACGTCGAAATATTTTTGCGGTGCAAGTAATAATATAAAATTATATTATTTAAAATTTTTACGTTTATGTGTAAAAAATTTATTGTATTATATTTTCGTTCATATATTATTTATTTAATCAAGTTTGTTTCAGTTATTTTTTTAGAGATATAATATTGTCGTACTTTTAAACTCTAAGAATAGCGTGACTTTCAGCTATTGTTTATTATGATGGAGAAATTCGAGAAAATGAAGCCGACGTTGTTTTCGTATCAAATGAGCGTGTTAAAATATCATTCAAGAGAAACATAATTCTTGAGGAGCTGATAACGAAGATTTTGAGGAAAGTTCATGTTGGAAGTAGTAGAAGAATGTCGTCGTTGCAGTACAGATTTTCAACATCATAAATTTAAATAATTACAAAAATTAATTTTTAAACTAATAATCATGCATTAAATAAATAAATAAATTATTACTAATAATTTAAATTATATTAAAATGTTACCGTATCAGCAAAATCTCGCGATATATGATTTACATCCAAGCGAAGTAGACCTCTTTCCATTTTATATCTACAAAAAAATTAATTAAATAAAATATTAAAAAATTTAAATACTTAAATAAATTAAAAGCAAAATATTATGTAACATCACAAACTATGGGTTAGTGACTAAATTGTAAAATTTCGGAATTTAATAATTAAAGTAGAATAGTTGAATAGTTCAATGATTTATTTGGGAATATTTCCGGAAAGTTTTTAGTAATTATTCAAGGAATTAAATGGTAAAATGGTCAATTGACATTAAAGATATTTTTATCCCCTTTAATAGGAGATAAAAACGTGGGAGATAAACATTTCATCTTCTTCTTCCTTTCTTATTCCTCCTCCCTGTGGAAGCTAGGCAAAGATTTGAGCCTAAACAAGTTTCGAAACAATTAAAGAATTAGGATCGAATCAAAGCAAGGCTAAGGTGAGTGCAATTTAATTGTACTTATGCGATCGAAAAACATTGGCTTGCGATGAGCCAGTGACGGAGTTACTATGGTAAGAAGTGACTCCTAAAATGTTATATAATTTATATGATTCTTATGAGTGCCTTTTATTTTATAGGATTATAAGGAATTGGACTTGTGATAAGTCTATTTCCAATAGTTATAGTGTATGGAGTATTGATTATAAGGATGTGAATGACATGAAATGTATGAATACTTGATTATATGAACTGATATGTGTTTATATGTACTATGTGATTTATAGGATATGTCATATGTGAAAATAAAATATGAACTATAGGAAAGAATTATATGATGTATATATGAACATATGTGAACAAAATATAACATGCATGTTTTCATGAACACATGAGATATAATATAAGTTATATGATACGATTTATATGATTACATGCACATGTGATATATGTTATATGATATGGATCTATGTGACTACGTGAGAAAGAATATATATCTATGAGAAGACATAAGAACAAGATATAAGCTATGTGACATGTGAATATGAATCATATAAAAATGTTCTACGTGTAAGTGAACTATGTGCCGATATGAATATGTAATAAATATGAAAGGTAATGCCCATGTTATGTGTCATGAGATCTAGAGGTATAGTTGGCATGCCAAGAGTAGAGGGTTTACGTGATCCTTCGGGACAAATTCTACGTGGTCCTTCGGGACGTATATGTATTCTTTGGAACATGAATGAGGTCTTTTGAGACACCTACTTGATCATTGGTATATGTATATGATTCTTAAGGAATTTATATGTGGTCCTTATGGACAATCTTATATGCACTACGGTGCATTTCTACGCGGCACTTCGGTGCAAAATCTACGTGGCACTACGGTGCAAATTTATACGAGCTGTAGTGAAAGCATAGTGCACAACCTCACAGTACTCACATACCTTGAGTTCTCAGTAATGTACATGGGCCTATAAAAGACATCAAAAGTATTTAAAAGATTCATATGTGATACTGTGTGTATTCTTAAGTGAAATGTATTTGTTATATGAGATTAGTAATTATTTATGTAATGGTGTGATTTAGAGTTTACATTATATGCTGATATGGTATATAAAGAAATTAGTGATGATAAAAATGAGAAATGATAAGCATGTTAATAATGTTATGTTACATGATATGTGCATGTATGTATATATTACATAAAAGAATATATGCTTTGGTATAATAAGGTAATATCAATGTTCATGCATTACAGAAGTTACAGTTAGCATATAATTATGTTTTATATGCCTCACTAAGTCAACGACTTAGCGTGTGATTGTTTCACGCGTAGGTTCCGAGAATAGGAAGATTGGTAAAAATTATGTAAGACATGTCAGTTTCTCCTTTCCAAAGATCATATCAGAAAAGAAACGTATAGTATGTATTTTGTAATAAGGATAGTGGTTGGCATGTAAATAAATGATTAAATTCAATATGTTCTAATCGGTTTTGTAAAATCATATGATTGAATTTTTTAATGTTTTAAAGGTGTATTTGTAAATGAAAATTTTATACGGGTGAAAACTAAGATTTTTATAAATTTATACGTATTTTACAGAAGTACTGTAGCAGTACTGTATCAGGGTATCGATTCTCTGTAGTAGGGGAATCGATTCCCCTATTATAATCTGGAAATTTTAACATTCGGGGGTATTGTTCACTATTGTTCATAAAACGTATATTTTCTTAAATTGGTTATAACAAACATGATTCAACAATATATTATCGTATTTTCTTAAAAAGAGTTCAAATGTCTTGATATTTTGTAAGAAAAAGGTTTTGAAAAGTCAATGTGACATCTCAGACTCTATTCGGGTCGGATACGGGTTGGGGTGTTACATATTAAATATAATAAAATATACCTTAAACAGTTAAAATAGAATATAAGAGTATTTGAGAGAAGTTGAGAGAATTTGGTGTGATGAAAGTGATTGAGAATGGGGTATTTATAGGGAGGGAGTGGGGTGTGAATGGTCGGGGCAGGTGGGTAATTAAACCTAAGGCGCGGCGCAGGGGGTGCGTCTTTCTGACGCGTGTCAGATTTAAAGGTAAAACGCGGCCCTTGCCCCGCGCTATACCCCACGTGGCGCCAGATCAACGTAAAGCGCGCTGCAGGGGCGCCTTACTGCAAAGGGTGTTAGATCGAAAAAAATAGTTTGAAGGGTGCCTGACATGAAAATATATAGGGTATAGGTGATATTTTGAGAAAAACGCCGAATAAATCAATATTTCATTTTAAAAGATGACTTATTTAAGAAAATAATAAAAGGATAAGAGATTACTCGAGAATAATAAAAGTACAAGGATTTATTTAATGTAAACAAAATAGTGTAATGGTCTTCTTGATATTTTAACCAATTTATATTTCACCAGCTAACATTACTTTAATGTCCCTATTGTCTACTCGAAATGACATGTTATCTCTTCCGACAAATAAAAGATTTTAGCTCCTTTCTGTTTTTTTTTTGTAACATGAAATCTTAAACAGAGACATTATATCAAGTTATTAGCTGTTAAAAAGATATTAGAACCTTGTATACATTGAAAATAAAAAACTAAAATCATCAAGTATTGCCATAATGGTAAAATTATTGGGGTGCAAGTCTAAAATAATTATATAAGGTATTGAAAATTTGTTCTATGAGGGTAAAATGAATAAAGTAGGGGAAAATTAGGTTGAGAATTTGAAGTCTGATCCAAGTATTTGATGTTTTTGACAATTACAATAGAGGATTGCTTGACAATCTGTTAAGCTTTCTTGAATAATCGGGTAAATAAAATAGAAAGAACACAAGAATTTTAACGAGGTTCAGCAATGTGCTTACGTCCTCGGTGCCTTAGGCGGCGCTAGTTTTTCATTCAATTCAATGTCTCATAGGTTTAGGTTACATCTTATTTTATAATAAATAAACTCTGGTACATGTTTACAAAAATAACCATGTATCATACCGCGGGACCACAACCCCCGCACCCTCAACCCACATAATCGTAATCCCCACTACGAGACTTTCTCGGTATATTT